AAATGGTAATAAATAGAGTTAATCGATATATTGTCTAATCGATTACATTATGCACATTAATCGAGAATCTCTTTACTGAGAATTAAGAAATTTAAACTGATGCAAGTGATCGATACATTATCGATATCGATAGGGCTTTCGATAACTTAACGCCAGACACTGTTTGCTAACGTATTGCTTTCGGTATTGTGCTCGGTCTGTGTTCTATTCGGTTCCATCGTGGACCTACCATCTGGATACTTATGCTCGATTTGAATACATTTTCGAAATATCACTTGAAATGCAAATTGCTGTTTGTGTGTGTCTTTTCTTCTGTTCGTTTCTCTCGATTTTTGCTTGTTGCGGACGTACGTTCGCTCGAATCGTGTGAAATGTGGAGTGCAGCCCAGGCACGTACGGCAAACATACAACAACAAAAACACGGCCACAGACAGCATGATAAAAATGTTAAATACTTAACAAATATTTAAAATATCATATGCATGTGCAATATATATATATATGTTTTTGGGATTGCACACGATCCACGGCTGCTCTGCAGCCGATCCGATCCGATCCGATCCGATCCGATGAATATGATGTATGCTCGCAATCAAGTGGCACTCACTCCACAACAAATCATTGCTGGACTCGTAATCGTATTAGTAATAATAATAATGATAATATATGAATATAAATATGTGTGTTATACAATTTGCCAGTAAATTATTTTATGCACATTTCACATTGCGGTTGTTTCCACTTATTCCAAGGAAGAGACAATAAATTTGTTTGGTAATTATCGAACGAAATTTTGTGCGGTTTTTATTTATTTATTTATTTATTTTTTTACTCTCTGACTCATATCTGTGCAAACTGTGCTTTATTGTTTATTGTTATAATATTTGTTATAATTTATTTTTTATTTTTGGTCATTCAGGTTTTTGTTAAAGATTGTTTCAAAAACTTGCATCGATTAATTCGAGTTTGTTGTATAATTTTATGCAAACTGGTTAAAAAAATTTCAAAACACGAACATATATCGTTGATTGATTAATTAACTGATATCGCAAATAAATCAAATACATGGATTTGTATATATAAATACTTATATATGCATTAATACAGTTTGATCGACATGCGTTTATTCAGTTCATCAATTGCACAGACATTTAAAATATATCGATTATACAATATAGCTCTTATCGATAATTTATATGAGTTGTGCAACGATTTATTTACCACAGAAATTAAACCTATCGATAGATTGCTTTGAGCGTCAATAAAGTTAAATGAAACGATTAATTTGTATCGATGAACATATCGATAACTTTCGCATTGGCCCAGAGAAACTTCTCCAAACATTTTGATATACGCAAGTACATCACAATGAGAACGAATCGAATATATTGATCGATAACATCTGTTTATCGATCAATTGCTCATAAACTTCATGCAAATTGAAGTTCGCCCTTTACAATTCATTCGCCCGCTATACATTTATCGCCTGATTGATGCGATCTTTGCATTTCCAATCGAACGAGCAAACAATTTCGCACACTTGAGAGCAATCGAAAAATGCCAACGATTCAACAAGTCCAGCAATCCAAGCGACAAGGCGACAAACAGACAACATAAAAAAAGCGCTTCATAATAAAAAACCGCTTAGGAATTTTAATGGCTAACAAAAAAAAAAAAAAAAAAAAAGAGGAGAAAAACACACAAATCAAATAAAATAAAAGCTAAGTACGAGTTGCTGTGCGCGCCCTGCTGGGCCGTTTGCCAGCTGTCAGCTCATCTTCGATGCGGTTATCGATTAGCAATCGAGTCAAGTCAAGCGATTGTCAACTGTTTGCGCAACACAACACAAAACAGCACGAAGCTGACAACGCGGCGTATGCGCAACGTGCAGCCACCTGCCGTGACCTCAAAAGCTCGGTTCTAGAGGAGCGGACAGGTAGGCCGGTGGGCTGGTGGGCACTTGGCCAGAAGGGGTCTGCGGCTGTGCGCATGCGCCGCATTTGGGCAAAATGATAGAAACTGAAACGCAGTAAAAAAGAAAAACAAATAAGAGTGCTCTAGTCGGGAGTGCACGACGAGCAGATACCCTCAACGCAGCGACAAGCTGCGGGACACACAATCTAGCCTTGATTTCTAGCGGCAACAAGAGCTGACTTACCAAATTTGGGCTAACTATGTCTTATAGTCTTCGAGCTATGCCTAAAGAAACGTGTCTCATATCGATATTTATCGATAATATGAACATCGAAGGGCCTATCGAAAAATGAAGGTATATTGTTCAGATCAGTTTATGGCGTTCTGGATGCTGCGTTCTGTGTGTCACATTAATAACCAGTATACCCATTTGAGGCATTTTCAATGGGCACAGGGTATAAAAATAGCATTTGTGTAGCGATTAGCATTTGGCGTTTGGCGAATGTCAAAAAGATTTTCGTTGAACAAGTTGCAACGCACATCAAAGGCAAAGGCTTTCAAAGCTTTCAAAGCCAGCAGAACAAAAGCTAAACCACACACACAAACACACATGCACACACACACACACACACACACACACACACATATATATATATATACGCACACACATACACACACACGAAAACATGCGAAAGCCATAAATCATAATTCTTTATTCTGGCTTTTTTCATTTGGTTGTTGCTCAAGTTTTACGTTTTTCGTTGTACATTTTCGCTTTTTGTTTTCTCATTTTAAAATTTAATTTTTTTTTTTCTTGACTGACTTTCAATTTGCACAAGTGTGTGTGTGTGAGTGTGTGTGTGTGTGTGAGTGTGTGGCTGTGTGTGAGGCACATAAAAGTGGCACTAAAACTTTTCGAGGCAACTGTAGCTGCTGCGGGGCACAGGGGTTGGCATTCGCAACAAACATTCCTGCCAAAATGATAAATGGCCCAAAAGCCAATACTAGAAATGGCAGAGCCACAACAGATCGGGCACCGAAGGGGTGGCTGCTCGTTATATTCTATGTAGGCGTCTGGGGGTTGGTTCGCTTTTGCATTTCGGATTGGTGAGTGGATGGGGATAAGGGATGGGGACGTGGGGTCGCAGTCGTATGTCCCTCAAAAACTACTTAGTTATACAGAACGCATAATTAGTCAAGTTTTAGCTTAACCCAATCTCTGGCTAAGGCATTCCGCACACAATTTCAAGCACATAACTGAATTCCTTGAAAAACCTCAAAGACCATAAAAAAATATAAAAAACAAAATGCGAAACATGGCAACACACAAAAAGGGCAACAAATTGCCATAAAAAAACAAAAAAAAAAAACAGAAACGAAAACGAAAAAACCCAAATTAACACTGGGAACTAAAATTAAATAATATAACTTTATATAATATAAATGTGCCATGTGGCAACGCTGCGAAAGCACAACGCAGCGAGTTGATAAGTTGCCTGCCTCAAAATCAGATTTAATTTTAATGGAGTGTCTTAGAGAAATGCAATTATGAGTTGATTTCATGACATCTGGCAACGCTGCAGCAGCAAAACCAGAATAAGCATTCGCAGTAACCATCTGGCAACGCTTTGCAAACATATTTGCTTTCCATTGGTTAAATCAAACTCAAATTTATCGTAAAATTATAAAATCTAATTGGAAATTTGGAGACAAATATAGAAACGGCGCTGTTCTGTCATATGGCAACGCTGCCTTATTAAGTTGGCTGCCTTATTAAGCTGGCTGCACGTATTAAGTTGGCTGTGCTCAGTTCTAATTGAATTTAAAACATAAATTAAAGATATATGGATTTGGGCCCTACGAAAGCCTATAAAACATTCTGTATGCAAGTTTCTGAAGAGATCTTAGCTGCAGTTTGAGCAAAGCAGATGCATAGAGTCTCAATTGACCTATTGCATAGCTGAAATACTTGCAATACTTGCAATGCTCGGAATGCATGTGCTTGTTGTTTGCATTTCACCTTCAACTGTGATTGACCGCACATACCCGCTGGGCTATTACACACACTCGAATGTAGATCAATTGTAGATCCGCCGTCTCTGGCTAACAGGCATCTATGAAAATATGTGCATTCTGCATTCAATTAAACGATTAAGTTCTTAATTGAGACATCAACATGGCTAACTAAACTACGCACAGCAAATGCGAACAGCATTGGGTCAGTCAGTCAGTCAGTCAGTAAGTCAGCTGGTTAGTCAGTCAATCAGTCAGCTGTCAGCTGCTCAATGCTTACATAAATCAATTTACTTACGTTTATTTTATAATTAAATTGCTTAGGCTTATACCCTGTACTACAACGAAACAACTCAGTGGAGTAGCCTCTCATAGGGCATTTATATGCAACGGACATAAAGTGACTCGGAATGTTAAGAAACCGCAACGGAGATGCAGCTACCCATTTTCCTATGAACTAATTTATAGCTCATTATAGGGTATCTTAAAGTCATTAAGACCTGTGTAGAGCACACAGGTTTCATTAAAGTTGCTCCAAATATTGCATAAAGAGCTAAAACATGTGTTTAACTCAATTTAATGTAATTCATAGCTGATTACAGGGTATCTGTTAATCGTGCAGTTTAGTAAGAGCACACTTGCTGTGTCAGAAAAGACGCTCCAAAAATAGTCGAAAGAATTGAGCCAAACAACGAATTAATGGCCCCTTACAGGGTATCTTTTAGTTATGCAGTTCTTTGTGAAGTACACTTAATTTTTTCATAAGATCGCTTAATTTTTTTTATAATATGTTGCTGTCATGCTCTAAAATATGCCTAAAACGTATGTTTAATTCAATTTGCAGTGCTCTTTAAATGCTTACAGGGTATCTTAAGGTCGTGCAGTGTACGCCACACTAACTGGCTTTTTATGAGCTGTTTTACGCTCACACAAGCTTGAATACGGGCGCGATTTGACTTGTTTTTTTTTTTTTTTTGAATTCTCACACACTACTCTTGCCCTATCACTCACTCACCCACTCTCCCTCTCTCTCTCTCTCTCTTTTTCTCTCTCTCTCTCTCTCTCTCGTGTAGAGCGAGCGTGCGATTCGTGCTGGTCGTCGCTGTCGTCGGTTGATGTCTCGGATGTCGCTGATGTGGATGTGGATGTCGACCGGTGCCGGTGGCCAAAACATTCAGTTGAATTCAACGCTGTGAGCAACACACGCTGGAAGCGCCGATGGAACCGCGTCGCGACGCAGCGGCAACGGCAGCAGCGGCAGCGACAACAATAACAACAACAACAACAACAACAGCAACTGCTAAAGAAACAAAAGCAACAACAATATTTGCACAAGAGCAACAAAAACAACTGCAACAAAAACTACAACCACAAACAACAGTCAGCTAAAAAGAAAAAACGTTTTATTAACAACAATTTGTGATAACCGAGAGAGACAACAACAACAACAACAACAACAAGTAGACGCGAGTGTCCAAAATAAAAACAACATTTATATACTTATACAAAAATATATATATATCCACATATATATCTATATTTATACAAAGCGCATATACAAACACAAAAAAAAATTTAAAAAATAATAATAATTATTAAACATAAAAATAAAACAATAAATATTTAATTAACAACAAAAAGCAGTCCAACAAATGCAACGCGTAGGCCTTCAACTGTGATTTACAAATAAAATATATTAAAAAAAAAAAAACAAAACAAAACAACAAATAAAATTTAAACAAAGTTCTACTATAAAAAAAGTGGCGAGAGAAAAAAATAGAATTCTACAAATAAACAAACGAGTTACGAGTGCTTTTTTTTTGAAATTCTTATTATTATTTACGTTTCGTTTTGTGCGTTGATTCGTTATCCAATTAGAATTCGCGCCCCAATAAGAAGCAGCAGCAGCAGCAGCAGCAGCCACACAATGTTCAACTCCAATATACCGGCCGCCGCGCTGCTGAGCATCGAGGGCAGCGGCCTTGGCGCTCACACGCCCAAAACTCCAGAGATACTCAACTCGCTGATTGCGATGACAAATCCTTTGGACAACTTCAATTTTAATGGCTCCGGCAATTGCAGTGCCGCCTCCACGCCGGTGGTCACCATACGCAACTTTTGCGGCAATGCGAACGGACAGGTGCGTAGTCAACCTTCACGCAGCGCTGGTGCCCGTTGATCGGCCTGCCTAATCTCAGATGTGGTGTCTTTTCTCTTGCAGTCGCACTCGCAGGACAGCAGTCATTCCAGTTGCTCGGCATCGCCGCTCGATTCGCCGGCGGGCACAGCGACCACGCCCAGTGTGCAACAGGTAGGTGTCAAAAGGGGCTGTCAAAAGGGGTGTGTTATGATATTCTATAGTTGTCATTGAACATGGCACTCAATTCGAGCACAAGACTCGGAATCAATTCACCAAATTTTACTTTCAATCTTGGCAAGTCAATTTCTTAACTTCGATCTTGGATCCTTTTCGATTAATACGTAGTCCTTTTCAACTTGGATGTAACGTAACATTTGATAATCAGTTCAACTTTTAATTCCGTAATTCAATTTTACTTTCAATCTCTAGCTCTTCAGTTCAATTATCTTATCTATTGCTTGTGGCCTTCAGGTGCAGCTTTTGGCTTTCAATTAGCCTTTTCAATCAATGAAATATTTCAATTGGACATATAGTTCATATCTCGCATAATTTACAATTTGACTTCTATTCTATTTTTATTTATCTTGCTCCATAGATAGCCCAACACGGTTTGATTGATCGTTCAGTTCAGTTTAATCTTGTCATAGCTGACAATCAGTACGACCTGAAAATCAGTTTAAACATAATTATAGAGTAAATTTATTTTTAATCTTAAGCAGTTCTTTCAATTAGTCAAGCGCTGTTCAATACAGTTTACAATCAGTTGAAATTGTAAAGCAATAGAGCTTAGCTTTCAATTTTACTTTTTTCAAACCTAAACAGTTCTTTCAATTATCCAAATAGTGTTTAATCAACATTCCTTTTCAAAGTTACATTTCGAATATTCCTATTTCAATTTGCATTCAATTCAATGACAATCAGTTAAAATTGTTTTTCAGTAAAGCTCAGCTTTCAATCCCCAGTCCAAGGCGGTTCAATCAATTTGCCTTCATTCAATCAAATTTTCATATCGAACAATGATGTTTCAGGACGCATTCAATTAAATGCTGACATTCCATCACAATGGACAATCAGTTAAAATTGTAATTCAATCGAGCTTAGCTTTAAATTTTACTTTCAATTATCTTGATGCAATCGATTGACGGCCTTTGGCTAACTTGACGACGCATTGCACAATTTTCACTTTCAATCTGGCATCTATTGAATTACTGCACGCGTGCATGCATTTCAATTCGGTTCAATTCAATTTCCCTTTCAATCTGGCCGCACCATTCAACGACAATCAACAAGATTGTCCAACATTTGCGTGCGTTTTCCATTTCCAATGTCCGAATTGCATATGTGGTGGCGCCCACGCAGCGCACGACGATGTGCCAAATGCCCACGCAATGTCAGTTGCTGCACCGGCTCCGGCTTTAGCTCCGGACATTGGCCGGCATCCGCTAGCACTCGCCCGCGCTTCCGCGCCCCCGCGCCCACACGCCAGCCCGCCTTCAATCGGGGCGACAGTCGGTTAGTCATTTGGTCGATATGTCGCTTGGGTCAGGCTTTTGGCTTTGGCGCTGAGCTCGTGGGCGTCGTTGTTGACGCTTCAATTGCAAAACGCAGCCAGAATTGATTTCACTTTTCGTATGCAAACAGAAATTGAATAAAGTATCTGTATCTGTATATGTATCTGTATCTATAGCTGTAGCTGTAGCTGTAGCTGTAGCTGTAGCTGTAGCTGTAGCTGTAGCTGCAGCTGTATCTGTATCTGTATCTTTAGCTGCTGCATTTGTATCTATAGCTGTTGCATCTGTGTGCGGCTGCACAGAATCACTTGACTGACATTGGCCTTAATGAGGCACGTAGCTGACGCAGCTCAGCTCAGTGAGGATAGGTAGGTGTAAATGTGGCTGGGTGGGGGAGGCGTGTTTTCTCGAGGGGCGAGTGCGGGTGCGATTATTGCATATGAATAACATTTGCCACGCGGCAATTAAATGCCATTCGAGCAGAGCTCACAGCTCCCGGGCGCATCCAGCAGATACTTGGATACATTTACGTATCTGTAAATGTGCGCTGCACTAATTGGCAGGTGTGCGTGTGTGTGTGTGTGTGTGTGTCTCTCTCTCTCTATCTATCTAGGTGTGTGTGTGTGATTTATGATTATTACTTGAAACGAATTTATAGGCATTGAACTGCCGCAAATTTTAATTGCCGCCAGTCGACGGCGGCGCAAGTGCAAAATATTACAAAAAATAAAAATTAAACACTTTTCAATTTGTTTTCTAACAAATTTCACATAAATTATAAGAGCCCAACAAACACACACACACACACACACACACACACACAGGCATATGCTAACTACTCGCTGTTGCCACTCGCCACAGTTTTTATTGCACTTTTTGGCGCAGCCGCTGCTGCTGCTGCTTCTTCTTAGTTTGCGCAAATATTTGCACAAATGTTTAAATTGTATTTTGCACATTTCACATAAACGCAAAATGCACAGCGAGAAAAAAGTGTAAAGAAAACGGCAGAAAAAGATGTAGAAATTTCAAAATGGCAAATATTGAATGTCGAAAAGTCGTACATAAAAAATACTTAAAAAGGCGAGAAGATAACACAAATTCCAAACAAACCGCACACTGAATACCCTATTCATAGTTGAAGTTAAATATAAACACAAACGCTAAAACGACAACCTATTTAAGGGGATCGCGCATATGTTTTGCTGGTAGCATTAAAAAGCACTTATACAGAGTTCCATTTTCCCATCTACGCTGAAAACACAGCTCGAATAGCACAGAATGTCAATATCATAAAGCAGCTGATCAACTATATTAATATAAATAAGCTCGCAACCGCCAAGCTACAAATTTCAGATACCTTTCTTTTCAAGGGTATTTTTCCAAAAGCGGAAAACAAATAAAAAGTAAAGTAATAAAAAATGAAGAAGAGAAAAACTGGCAACAGGCGAACAAACAAAATGCGGGGCCAAATAAAAGATGCAAATTTGCGAGACGATTCGTGCGAAATGTGAGTTTTTTTTTTGGGCACTGCTCGGCAAACATCGCAAATTTGCAGGCAGATACAAAAATACACACAGATACAGATACAACTACAGACACAGATATAGATTTATTCACAGATACAGATACAGATACAGATACAGATACAGATACAGATACAGATACAGATACAGATACAGATACAGATACAGATACAGATACAGATACAGATACAGATACAGATACAGATACAGATACAGATACAGATACAGATACAGATACAGATACAGATACAGATACAGATACAGATACAGATACAGATACAGATACAGATACAGATACAGATACAGATACAGATACAGATACAGATACAGATACAGATACAGATACAGATACAGATACAGATACAGATACAGATACAGATACAGATACAGATACAGATACAGATACAGATACAGATACAGATACAGATACAGATACAGATACAGATACAGATACAGATACAGATACAGATACAGATACAGATACAGATACAGATACAGATACAGATACAGATACAGATACAGATACAGATACAGATACAGATACAGATACAGATACAGATACAGATACAGATACAGATACAGATACATATACAGATACAGATACAGATACAGATACAGATACAGATACAGATACAGATACAGATACAGATACAGATACAGATACAGATACAGATACAGATACAGATACAGATACAGATACAGATACAGATACAGATACAGATACAGATACAGATACAGATACAGATACAGATACAGATACAGATACAGATACAGATACAGATACAGATACAGATACAGATACAGATACAGATACAGATACAGATACAGATACAGATACAGATACAGATACAGATACAGATACAGATACAGATACAGATACAGATACAGATACAGATACAGATACAGATACAGATACAGATACAGATACAGATACAGATACAGATACAGATACAGATACAGATACAGATACAGATACAGATACAGATACAGATACAGATACAGATACAGATACAGATACAGATACAGATACAGATACAGATACAGATACAGATACAGATACAGATACAGATACAGATACAGATACAGATACAGATACAGATACAGATACAGATACAGATACAGATACAGATACAGATACAGATACAGATACAGATCAGATACAGATACAGATACAGATACAGATACAGATACAGATACAGATACAGATACAGATACAGATACAGATACAGATACAGATACAGATACAGATACAGATACAGATACAGATACAGATACAGATACAGATACAGATACAGATACAGATACAGATACAGATACAGATACAGATACAGATACAGATACAGATACAGATACAGATACAGATACAGATACAGATACAGATACAGATACAGATACAGATACAGATACAGATACAGATACAGATACAGATACAGATACAGATACAGATACAGATACAGATACAGATACAGATACAGATACAGATACAGATACAGATACAGATACAGATACAGATACAGATACAGATACAGATACAGATACAGATACAGATACAGATACAGATACAGATACAGATACAGATACAGATACAGATACAGATACAGATACAGATACAGGTACAGATACAGATACAGATACAGATACAAATACAGATACAGATACAGATACAGGTGAATCGCAAAGAAGGGCTTAGATATGGCATTGGATAAACTTGACCCGTAGCACTCATTCTGCATGCAGAAATCGGCCCCAACGACTTGGATTCGCCCGATTCATAAGATTGCATATATGTAAAGCCTTGTTGAGCATTTGCTTATCTTTGCGACTTTGTTATCTCATGTTTTCTGTTTCGATCTGGCCTGCTTGCTTATCAAACTTAGATTAAGTCTTATCTCACTTAGATCAGTTCCAAACTTTAGTTCTGGCTGTGCTTCCCCTTTCTCTCTCTCTCTCTTTCTCCCTCTCTCTATCTATCTATCTTGCTTTCTGATCAGCTGAACTATATTATCTTCTCTTTGCTTCTCTCTACTGTTTTTTCCCTCTCTGTCTCTTCCTCGCTTCAAGACTTGTTTTTTTTTTGTCAAATTTAGTCAAACGCCTTGGTCTCTCTTCTTCTCATTTTCCCTCTTTCCCCATTCTCCTCCCTACCTCTTTCTCTCTCTCTACCAATTTCTTTCTGATCTGCATACTTTAGCACTGACCTCTAATCTTTGATTGATTGACTGATTAATTAACTGACTGATTGACTGCCTGCTTGACTGATTGATCATCAACGCACAGCCCAAACCATAAAAGCAATGTAGCTCAAATTTGTACTGCAGTGCGAAAGTGTGACAAGATTGCGAGGAACTAATTTTCACGGGCGGAAAATGCTTGACAAGGGAAATTGAATATTTGTAGGGAACATCTTGGCCCCGGGCAAGGCCGAAGAATGCACGCTCGTATGTACAGATATAGATATATGAATTTGTGGAATTGCATTTCTGACTCCCCCCGACCCTTGGGCAGCCTACTTCTGCTACTGCTTGCTCCAATTACACTCACTGGCCCCACACGCAGACCATTTGGAATGCCCTGACAACTAGCAGGCACCATCACACATACACGCATAGAGAGTTGCACAACAACAACAGCAGCTGGAGTCAAGTAGAAAACGCACCAATTTTCGAGAAGTCTGCCAAGTCGAGTTGAAGGCAACAAAATCTTTTTCTCTTTTATTTTTTCTTGACCATATGGTCGCCGGGCGGTCCGCAGTAGCTGCGGCAGTCTCAGTCGCAATCGTTGGCGCATGCGATTATTATGATTATGCGTGTTTCTTTTTTCTTGTTGGTTTTTTTTTTTTTTTTGTTGCTGGTTGAAACAAAATTTATTTATCTGCTTTTTGGGTCAATAAATAAAAAGGCAGCGTGCCTAAAATTTAAATGAAACAATGCGTTGAGCGGCTGGCGAAAATAACAGCAGCAGCAGCAGAAACAAAAAGGGGCTGGGCTGTGCATAGGGCTGAGGAGGGGCTTTTGGAGTGGGCGTTGGACAGTGGCATCTGAACAATTTCTCGAGCAGACAGCAAATAAAAAGCGCAAAACTCAAGATAATGACAATCATGTTGATGATCATCGTGAAGATGGGCTGGCAAAGATAGTCTGGGCTTGTCTGACACTTGAATGAGCTGTCATTGAGCTGCACATTGAAGTGGGCTGCCCAAAAAGGGGGACAGCAGGGTAGGGAGCTAGAGTGGGAGAAGTGGGGAGTGGAGTGAGGCGAGCAGCCTTTCAGCAGATTTCAATCAGCACTTCTATTAAGGCTTCAATCAACTGTACAATCAGGGCTTCAATCGAAAGTTGAATCAGCGCTTCAATCAGCACTTCTACTGACGCTTCAATCACGAATTCAATTTAATTGAACTGCATAAACCGTTGACTTTACTTTTTTTCCGATTAACATTAATTATGTGTAGGTATGAATATTATTAATTAAGAGCTCAATCATTTTTTTTTGCTTTCAATTTCAACGATAACTTTCAACTTATTGAAATTAAACTCCTTATTTCAACTACTCAGCAGCTGACTTCGATCAATTTCAATTCAATTTTTAATTTCAATTTCAATGAGTTGAATTGACTCAACGTTTCACTTTTGGGTGTGCATCGCTCAAATTATTTGTACAATCAGAGCCTATCCTCTTTGCCTTGTCAATTTCAATTTCAATGTGGGGCATTCAACCAGTCGCATTGACTTAACCAAACTGCGAGCGTGTGTGTTGGGCCCTTTTTAAATGAAAGTTGACAACGTGTCGACGTGATGACCATCTGTTTGTCTGTTGTCTCTACTCCATAAAAGGCGCTGATGCGCTGCCCACCCACCTCTTTAAGACTGTAGACTTGTGGCCAGGGGAGCGGAGCGGGCGGAGGTTGACTGTTGCGACTGCACTTGAGCAACCTGTTGTGGCCTTGTTGTTATTTTTGTTTATTGTTTTTGTTGTTATTATATGCATTGTCCTGCCCAGTAGTATGGGCACTGGGCGGGTCGACAACAGAAAAAATAAATAAAAATACCGATTTCTATCTTTCACTTTAATATTTAAAATTTATGCGAGAGTTGCCCTCAAGTAAATCACAAACTTAACAAACCAAATGCCGCCGAGATAATCTGAAAGGCGAGACCCAAAAATCCTAAAAACCCAGCGCAAAGCCCAGGCCCAGCCCCAGCCCAAGCTCAGCCAAAAAAAAAAAAAAAAAACCGGGCCAGATCCGAAGTGTGGCCAAGGAATGCGCCAAGCTTTGCAAAACTCATGTCAAGCATTTTATTTGTTGTTGATTTCTCGTGAGGGTTGGCCCGCTCAGGTCGGTGCGGCGGGAGGGGGGCGTGGTCAGTGAGTCAAGTGAGATCTGGTTGAACTTGGTTAGTTCTCTGGCCAAATGGGTCAGTCAGAAATGTCAACGCGTCATTTCCCGAATTGGAGTTGTACGCCGCGGCAAGCACTCAAAATACTCGCTACTCGATACCACAATGCGCGATGCCAAAAGACTTGACTTATGCAATTCGTGCTGTCAGCGCCAGTGTTGCCAACTTTTGCTGCTAAAAAGTAGGTAGAAATAGCTAAATTACATTCACATGGGGTAAAGGGTTGCCACCTTGTAACGAGGTTTCTTTTCTAGCAGTAAAAAGTACATGTTAGGCTAGAGATGACACGAATGTGGACAGGGTTGCCAAAGCTTCTCGTTGAGATAAAAAGAAGTAAATTTAAATTGAAGTTAATTTCAAGTTAAATAAGTTTTGTGCATGGCAAATCTTTAAGCATTAAGAAATAGCCAGAATTGCAGCAGTTGCACACTTAAATGTAGCGATAAAATGGCCAAATTGACAGCACTGCTGCCAATTGCGGTGCCACATGGGATTCAGCCAATTTGGCTATTGGTGACAAACAACTTTTGGACCTTGACTAATCGTTCTCTCTCTCTCTCTCTCTGTTTTTCTATCTCTATCTCTCTGTAGACCTGTTCGCAGCTGATCAAAGCTGGCCTCAAGCTGTCCATTCAAAGCAAACGCAAGCTGTCCACATGCGACTCCAGCTCCGGCTCCGAGCAACCAAACTCAAAGTGTTCGCGCCGCGACGAGGACTGCGAGGAGTCCAGCGATGAGGATAGCGAAACCAAGTCGGTACCGAAGGGCCTGACACCCGAGGATGAGGATCGCCGGCGTCGGCGACGCGAGCGCAACAAAATCGCGGCCACCAAATGCCGCATGAAGAAGCGCGAACGCACCCAGAACTTGATCAAAGAGTCCGAGGTACTCGATACCCAAAACGTTGACCTGAAAAATCAGGTGCGCACCCTGGAAACGGATCGGCGACGTCTGCTCGAGATGCTGCAAGCCCATTCGCCGGGCTGCGTCAAGCGCGGCGGCTGCCAGCTGCCATCCAAGCTGCTGCAATCACCGGCAACCAAGTATCTGGCCGAGCTGGAGCTGGAGGGGCTGCTCAATGGCGATGCGGCAGGTAGCGCAGCCAACACGCCCACACAGCGGCAACAGCAGCAGCAACATCAGCAGCAACAGCAGCAGCAACAGCAGCAGCAACAGCAACAGCAGCAACAACAACAGCAGCAGCAGCAGCAGCGCATGCAGAGCATACCATCCATGTCTACGTTCAAGTTTGGCAGCAAGACGCCAGCAGTTATGGCAGCAGCGGTAGCAGCAGCACAGGCGCAACAGCAGCAACAGCAGCAGCAGCAACAGTTGCAACAGCAACAGTTGCCGAATGGCTATTGCAAGCCCTCGCCCTCGCCGCAGGAGTTTGAGCATGCGGGCTACTTGAGCTCGCCAACACAGGAGGCACTTTGCCTGCCACAGCAACTACAGCAGCAACAGCAACAGCAGCAGCAGCAGCAATCATCACTGAATCCCGCCAGCAACAACAACAGCAACAACAATGCCGACAACAACGGCAATTTGGTGGTTAGCCAACAGGTCTCGGACTATGTGCCCAATTGCGAGGGCCTCAGCCTTGGCCTGGGTCTGTCCGCCGTGGCCGTTGCCATCACCACGCCCACCAACAGCAGCAGCAATACCAGCCTCAGCAGCCTCAGCAGTCTCAGCAGCAGCAACAACACCAGCAGCAATCACAGCAGCAGCAATACCTTGGCAGCAGCAGCAGCAGCAACAACCAGCCTGCCGTCGGCAACAACTTTGCCGCCAGCGACCACGCCCACCAGCGCCATTGAATTTGTGAAAAACGAATTGGTGGACTCGCAGAGTCCATATACGACAGCGCTGAGCGCGGAGCGTTTCCTGTTCGAGTCCAGCGACGGCTTCCCGGACATCAAGCATGCGGTCAGCGTGCATCCCAGCAGCATACTCAACAACATGACCAGTGTGGCCAGCCTGGCCGTGCACAACAACAACAACAGCCATCTGATGGACTTCCACAATGGCCTGCCGCACGGCGGCGGCGTCGGCGTCGGCATCATGACGCCCGTCTACGAGGAGGAGCAGCTGTTGATCATGAAGAACAGCTGCTTTCCCAACGATCTGCTGTCGCAGCTGGGCGATGAAACCGATTTTGTGGATCTAGATACGGGCGCCGCTGCCTTTATGCATAACGGCGGCTGCCTGGCGTGAGATCGGGCTGCCCAGCGTGCTGCCGATCACGAGCTGTTGCTAGCCTACGAACAGCAGCAGGAGCAGCAGCAGCAACAGCAGCAGCAACAGCAACAGCAGCAGCAACAGCAGCAGGCGGTGGAGGATGAGCTGCAGCAGGAACAGGCTTGGACACATGTGGACTACTGGTGTTAGGGCACACACACCTGCAGCTGGCATAGGTGTGTGTGTGTGCGTGTGTGTGAGTGTGAGAGTGTATGTGTGTCTGCAGCTCGCTATTGGCGCTTGCCACGCCCAGCTAATGCTGTGCCCAGTTATACAGGCACACGCACACACGGACACAACCCTAACGGAATATCCAAGTTCTTCCAACAACAACAACAACAACAACAGCGACAACGACAACGACAACAACAACAACAACAGCAACAGTAATGTCTCCTCCCACATCCCACTAGGCCCTGCGCCCGCGCTCGAATATACTACTTATCATAAAGCACCCAACCTACCCCCCTGCAACACGTGTGCGTGTGTGTGTGTGTGTGTGTGTGTATGTGTGTGTGTGTCTGGAGCGGCGCTCCGAAACGTGGCTTGACTACCTCATAAAACAACCTTTAAAGTTTAAAGCACTTTGTTTAAAATATAAATATAACTAATTTTTTTTGTTGTTTTTTTTTTCGCTCGTCTAAAGTTTAGATTGTAAAACACCTGTATATAACCTTAAATTTGTATGTGTGTATATTGTACGTATGTATATCTCTCTTTTCACACACACACATATATATATATATATATATGTGTGTGTGTGTGTGTGTATATATATGTGTGTGTTTATGTTTATGTTTATCGATAACATTCCGTGCAACAGGCAATTTGTTGGCAGTCACAGCCGCATCAGTAATTATTAATTTTAATTTCCGTTAAAACAAACCTAAACTGCCTCCCCTCCCCACCCCGCACCACCCTCACAATTAACCCTGCCCACACCCTGTGCAAGATAATGCAGCAAAACGTTAAAAAATCTGGCGAAAATCTGGAAGAAAAAAAATTCGAAAAAAAAATTATATAAATTATATTTAAGCTAACTATAAAAATTAAGAATTAAACAAATTAAAAACCATGCGATATGATGACGTTCGATATTTTTTTTTTTTTTGCAAAATGTAGGCTTAAGGTGTGATAAACATAAAAAAAAAAAATCAACTATTATAAAAAACATAAACTAAAAAAAAAACTTTGTGTAACTTTTCTCCCCCTTTTTATTGTAAATGTGAATTGGTTAAGACAAAGAAAAGCTTGTTGCCTTAAGAAAAATATGTTAGCTGAACAACTAAAAAAAAAAAGAAAAAAAAATGTAGACCTAAGTTTGTTAATTTTTTGTGCGAAACTAAAAAATGTGCTCTTAAAAAAAAACTATAAAACTGCAAGAAATTTTTTTTGAAAAACTAGCGCCTTATTAAACTTAATGACAAAATAAAAATAAAACAAGAAGAAAAAAGCAAAAGCAAAATATTTACAACAAAAAACTTAAATATATTAAATGCATTGAAAAATGTTTAAATGCATTGAGAAGAAAAATGAAAAAACAAAATATTTCAAAATATTTGTGTATGTGTGTTTACCGCTTGATAATATTCAGACTCAAATAACTCTATAGCTATATACATATACATATATACATACATATATATATGTATACATATATATATATGTGTGTGTGTGTGTGTGTATAGGACCTTATATAGCATATAAATGTGTGTGTAGAACAAAATGTAGAAGAAGAAACTCGTTTATGCATTCAACAAATTCTAAGTATAAACAGCTGTGAACACCAAAAAGTGGCCTAAACATTAAACGAAAGAGATCATCAAGTGCTTTTCTAATTGTTTATTTCGAATTATATACCAATATATATATATATATATATATATATATATATATATATTTCCTTTTTTACTTGAACAGAAAAACAAAAGAAAGAAAAATTGCCTCGATTTGTACTAAAGATTTAATATTTACAAACTATTTATGTATTATATATAAAAACTTAGCATTTAGTGAGCACGGCTTTTGTAATTGTACATTGTCTACCATATAAAGCAAAATACTAACCGTAGCATACCCTGGAATACCCTGCAATTTGAACTAACCATTGGCTCTCTCTCTCTCTCTCTCTCTCTCTCCATCTCTGCAGTTCGTCATGCGTGTGTAAATTGTTAATTGTTTGTAAAATTTAATATAAAATTCAAAAATAAAAAAAAATCACTTAATAAGAAACCCAAAAGAAATAGGATTCGTAATGCCTCAAAATACCAGAGTAGAGCAAAAATTTGTATATAGCATTAATCTACGCGAATCAAAGGAATTATATTAATATGATATTAAATGTTCAGCTTCCAAGAAAAGATAACAAAAAAAAAAGCAAAAAAAAAACGATAAGAAAACCAAACAAAAAAAAATGTAAGCTCAGGTCAAGTTTGTGTCTAATTTGTTCATAAAGAAAGTCTTTTGTAAGAAAAACATAAATGCAATGCCTAAAATGAAAAACAACATTTAAATGTTATATGTATAAATGCAATCAATGTTTAACCAAGAGCTCTAGTGCAAAACCCAAATTGGCTATAAAACAAAACATATTTATTATAAATAATAAAAAGAACATACCTCTCGCACATGCATAGTTATATAGTATGTGCATATATGTGCGTGCCTCTGGCTGAAGTTTTTTCTGCTCTCAATTCTAAAAGCATAAACTTATATAAGCATTAAATTCATAAAGTTTCAAAAACAGAAAGCAACAAAATTCAACACATCATTAACAAAAAATGAATAGAAATGAAGGAAAACAACAACAACAATTCAGTTTTGGTATATTTCATATCCCTCTCTCTCTCTCTCTCTCTCTCTCTCTCTCTCTCTATCGCGCTTCATTCCTCTCTCTCACACACTTTGTGCAGTGTTGTCAAATGGCGCATTCAAAAAATAGTGTTGAAAATAGCTATGTAAAGGCTAGAATAACTGCAAATGACACGTGTCTGGCTAAAAACCACTGAAAATTCAATTGCGAACTTGACAACACTGTTTCTGTTGGCTAGTAGTGGCGCATATTCTCATATCCTTTCTCTCTCTCTCACTCTCTCTCTCTCTCTCTCTGTCTGTCTCGTTCTCGCTCTCATTTAACCGTAGCTATTAGTTTTTAGGTTTTTACTATTTGTAATATCAACAAAACAGCAACAATCGACAATTTGTTGAGCAAAGCAAACAAAATGCGCTACGAAGTACCTGTTAAATGTTATAAAAATCATATATATGCACGCATATACATATGTATAAATGTTGTTAAATGTTAACAAAAGAAAAACAAAAAAAAACAAAACAATTAAATAGCTAAATAATTAAAAAGAATAGAGGCACACAGTCAAAACTTCAGCTGCAGGCACGTAAGGCCCATTTAAACAAAGCTTATCTAAAAAGAGGGTAGAGAAAAACGTAAACTAACGGGCCTGTTCCGGATATCGTTTCCGATCAAAATGAAACGAAAACGAGTGAAAATGCATTCGATACGCCTTTCAATCCGCAACGATATCTGGCCGAGGCCCGCATATATACTTACTGCAACTAATAATATAATAATAAATGCATGTATTACACTTATAAACTACAATTTCCATTAAAAAACAAAAAACATAAATATATTTATAAAAGAAAATTAAAAAAAAAACAACTCCCATAAACTGTGCTAAAAGAAGAAGGAATACAAAAACAAAAAATAGAGAAAAAAAAAGTATTATTTATATATTTTTGACAAGCGCAAAAATATATGCAAATTAATATTTGCGTTTTCAGTTGTCGCCCTTAAAAAACAATATCGAAATATATATATATATGTATATATATATATGTATATATACCAGTCATATATATATGTATTTATATATATATATAGCATTTCTTCTAACTAATTTAGCCGAGCACAAGCAATTTGTAATTTAATTAAGTTTAGCTTTTTTTAACTACTTTTTTTCTATATTTGTTTTTGTTTAACTTGTTATAAAAAGATAAATGCAATTGTTAAAAACATATAAAAAACTAATTTTACAATTTTTGTTTTATTATTATTAATTTTTTTTTTTTAAATTATATACATATATTTAAAGCACAAAAGAGAGGCACACGATAAATCAACTCAAAGCCAAACAACGACAGCTACACACACACACACACAGACACACACACACAGACACACACAAACAGACAAACACACACACACAGACACACCCACACACAGACACACCACACACACACACACACACACACACACACACACACACACACACACAGCGAACTGTGTTTTAATGCTTTATAAGCTGAAATTAAGCGAAAATGTTTTTAATATTTTTCATATGTAATTTATTATGCTACTTAAAAAATAAAACAAAAACAAAACAAAATGTATGTGGAAAAAAGCCCAGAAATCCCAACAACAACAACAAACAAACAAACAAATTCTGCAACAAATAAACACCCCACAAAAATGTCAAAAACGTACGCAAAAAAAAAAAACTTTTTGCAATACATTTTATTTCGAAACAACATTTTTTTTGATACTTTTAAGCAGCTAATACTAAATATAAAATTAAAAATTAACTAATAATATTTGTTTTTTTTTTTTTATATATTATTATTAAACATAAAAAGTCAACAAATGGCAAATTATTTCTTTTAATATAAAAAATATTAAAAAAAAATCTAAAAAAAAACAACAACAACAAAAAATCAAACAAAACAAAAGCGAAAATGTAAAAATAAATGTTCTGCTTCGAAATCAAAAACGTACAAGAAATGTGCTTTTAAATGATGAGTTTAAGTGGAAACTAGTTGGATTTGTAGATCTGAAAGAAGTGAAAGCGACTGAACCTTGGGTTGCTGCAGATTGAATCCCTAAAAAAATTATAAGTTGTTAAGCAACACTGCTTAAGGCGCACCTTTAGTATTGCAAAATGTTAAGGAAAATTGTTTAACTGACGCGTTATCCAGTCAAGAGCTGAGCTTAAAAAAGCCATCACTTTAGTGCCTCGCAAGCTGTTAGTCAACACTGCGCAAACATTTGTCGAGCCACTGTTCAACACTGCCTGCTTGAAATCCAGGAGCTTGCGTATTCAGATCTGTGGAATAGTCTTGAGCTGCTGTTGAACACTGAATGAGCCGCTGCTGCTGCTGCTGTTGTCCAACAATGTTCGCGTCTTACTCATAAATCGTTCGCTGGCTGCCTCAATTGCTTAGACTCAATTATATTTGTTCTTGGCG